GGCAAATCATGGGATTGCAAAGCAAGTATATGAAGCATGTAAGAGCCAACTAAACCCACCCAAAACAGGGTCATGGCATGCTAAGAAAACACCAAAAATCCACTGAAATGAGGTCAACATAGGCTAGAAAGACATGCTCAAACATGAAGCATATAAGACTAGTTTGCAAAATTTACACTACAAGTGTATAGACTATGCATGGAATGACCAAGATAGGCAAAAAAAGTGGTATATCACAACAAAATAACCACGAATACTAGCTAAGACATGGCCAACATGAATTTAACAAAGGTGCTCACATATGAGGCAAATATGGCAAGTATTGAAGACAGCAAGGAGAAGGGATGGCCCTCTCCTTCTTAGGACCTCAAAACACCATCCTCACCACTGAAATCCCACTGAAATCCCTCTAGATTTCAGTGGTGAGAAGGCCAATACAAGGTGGTCCCGGAGCCCACAAAAAGGGCACAAAAATGAGGCCAAACAAGGCCTAAGAGGGGGTAAACAACCCCAAACACAAAAGTGATCTTAAACAAAGATCAAAAGTATGTAAAAATAGAACTTTTATCAGTTTATAGCTGAGCCTAAAACAATAAGAAAGAATGATTAAAAGCTTATGCAAGAATGGGGTATCTAAAGCAAAAGTGCTCACCCTTGTAGAACCTCTTCAAGATTGAAGCTCCAGCAAGTTTTCTGAGTGTAAACCAACCCAAGAACACTGAAATCAACCTCCTAGCACCTCAACAACCAAGGATGGTGTTCTAGTGTTTGTTTGTGTACAATAGTAAGACAATACTACACTTTTGTGTACAAAACAAGGCTAAACCAAGAAATATAGATACAAAGGTATATCTATCCTCTCAAGAACAGATTTTCTGAACCCTGGAGGAGGGAAGAGGAGCTCCCTCTTTATAGAAGTTCAATAGCAAAGCTTCCAAAGCAAGCTAGACCAAGAGGCAAATCCCTCCATACACGTGTATGGAGGGGAGCAAATGTGCATGCCAGCTAATCCAGTTGGCATAAAATATCTGCATAAAGTAGATGAATAGGGTTCAGCCAACGAAAATGGCCGATCGACCAACACAAGGGCCGGCCGACCAAATAAAGTGTCGATCGGCCAATACACTTGGCCGGTGTAAAGAAATCATGGCCGATGGCCTCAAGCCTTGGTCGGTGGGTTGAGGGGATGGCAAACAAGCCACCCTCTTCCCTCAGAAGCCAAAACACAAGTGTTTGGTCCACAACCAAGCACAAAACAAACAAGTTGAGAGATCTTCAGGCAAGACGCGCAACCGAGACCTCCGAGAACACAAAACGAACACAAACATGGATGATCATCGAGTGTTCAAATGATGACGTCCAAGTCTTAAGGACGGTCAAAAATGGGGTGTCCACAGACTCTCTGTTTGAAAACTAAGTCAAAAAATACACTTTTTTAACAGTTTGGCTTGAGAATAAGCCATCGGGGGGCCAAAATCGTAAAACAACCATGAGAAGGTCCGGAGAACACTCCGAACACCTCAAGAGGGACCAATTTACGTTTTGGAAACTTACAAAATTGGCACGGGACTTTCGGTTCGAAAACTAAGTCGAAAAATATACTTTTTCCAACATTTAGGCTTAAAAATAGGCCATTGGGGGCCAAAATCGTGAACCAGCCATGAGGAGTCCCGTGAAACACCCTGAACACCTAGGAAGGGACCAATGTAATTTTTGGAAACCAATAGATCAAGCACGGGACTCCCAATTTAAAAACTAAGTCGAAAAATATATTTTTTTAACACTTATGCTTGAAAATAGGCCATCGGGGGGCCAAAATCGTAAAGCAACCACGATAAGGCTCGGAGAACACCTTGAACACCTCAAGAGGGACCAATATAAATGTGAAAACTTATGGAACGAGCATAGGACTTCTGATTTGAAAACTATGTTGAAAAATGCACTTTTTCCAACACTTAGGCTTGAAAATAGGCCATTGAGGACCAAAATCGTGAAACAGCCATGAGAAGCCCTAGAAAACACTTCGAACATCTCGGGAGGGACCAATATAAGTTTTTGAAACCTATGGAAATAGCATGGGACTCCCAGTTTGAAAACTAAGTCAAAAAATACACTTTTTTAACACTTAGGCCTGAGAATAGTCCATCGGGGTACCAAAATCGTAAAACAACCACAAGAAGGCATTGAGAATACCTCGAACACCTCAGGATGGACCAGTGTAAGTTGTGGAAACTTACAGTACTAGCATGGGACTCCTGGTTTGAAAACTGAGTCAAAAAATGCACTTTTTTCGACACTTAGGCTTGAAAATAGGCCATAGAGGGGTCAAAGTCTTGAAACAGCCACGGGAAGGGCTGAGAAACACCACAAACACCTTGGGAGTGTGATACCTCTGTTCCATAGTATGTTAATGGGTCCTTAATACGAGCATGATTATGTGTTAAATATGTTTTTGTGTGCCATTATGTGAAAATATGTGGTTTGAATTTCTACTGTTCACCGTAGGAATATCTGTTTGATAATCTGCTTTGGAAATTAAATTGAAGGCCTTATCGGCCACAGAATCCGAAATTGAGTACGCCTTTGTGATTGGCATAATTTTAGAGCCTACGGTGAAATTTAATTGAAACCTGATTCGGATTAGAATAAATTGATTTAATTGGTGAATTAATGCTCTATTATTATATATTATAATAATATAACAAGAGGGGCCTTATATGAGCACTACACACACACGCTTAACTCTTTTTTTCTTGTTCATTGAGCCGAATTACTCCAAGAGATAGAGAGAGGGCCAACCATAATGAGATAAAGGGAGAGAATTGCATATTTTTGATCTTAAAGCTTGGAGGTTTTGAAGGTTACTCAAAGATTGCTATAAATTGGAAGAATTAAACCTCTAGGTACGCTAGTGAGCATGAATTCAATAGTATAAGTTTGTAAATTGTGTATTCAAGTTAGTAGGGTAATCAAGAGTAAGAATTGAAATGAAATTGCGTTGTTTATGTTAAATTGAAGGTCAATGTGTGCATGCATGGGTATAATTGCTTTGAATTTGTGTATTTGAGCACAAAACATATGATCCATGAAAGTTTAAGTTGAAGCTCATGTTTTTAACCATCTCGTCATCATATGAGTTGAGAATGAGGGAGATAAGTCACATGCATGTACAATCCATGGGAGTAGGAGTTTGAATGGTTGAATTTATCATGTTGGTCATGAGTTTCATGTAATTTGGAACATGCATGTGATTAATTAGCAAAATTGAGCTTCATTGTGATGTAATTTAGTGTTTGTACCATGTTAGTACATAAATATATGAAGTTTGAGCCAAGAATCATGAGTTGAGACCTTTGAACATCGAATTTGAACTCCAAGAACAGTTCTGGAATTTCCAGAAAGTTTGATGCCCGCTCGAGCGGGGAAACCGCCGCTCGAGCGTGAATTTCGTGCTCCCAGTATTTTTTTCTGCAGACCATGATGTCCGCTCGAGCGGGGAAGTCCACGCTCGAGCGGGGAGCTATGTAGGATGGACTTCCGCTCGAGCATCCGAGGTCACGCTCGAGCGTAAAAATGATACATCCAGAACTTTTTGCAGACATGGTGTCCGCTCGAGCAGAGAAGTTCACCCTCGAGCGGGGAGCCATGTAGAGAGGCCTTCTGCTCGAGCGCAAGATTGAACGCTCGAGCATAAATTTCACATATCCAGTACTTTTGCAGGCCTCAAGGGTCCGCTCGAGCGGGGACCCTGTTTTCTGAAATTTTGTTAATGCATTCTGTGTTTCGTTTTCTGTTCTCTTTCACTTCTAAGTACTCTTAGGCATGCATTGAGCATTGTCATTGAGTTAAAGAGATAAGAATAAAGCCTAAAGAGGAAAATGTGAATTTTGAACGGATTGAATTGTTAGTCACCCTTTTATGTTCATGGCATGTGTAGGGTCCAACCAACCGATCACTGTGTGTAATATCTGAAATATGTTATTGTCCAATTACTTACTTCTATGTAAGTTTTGTAAAGTTCATTAATTTTGAATGGTGGAAAAAGTTTGATATGAAAAGTTTGAAAGGCTTAAATACCAGTTTGAAATGAAAGTCTGAAAGGCTTAAATGCCAGTTCGATATGACAAGTTTGAAAGGCTTAAATGCCAGTTTGAAATGAAAGTCTGAAAGGCTTAAATGCCAGTTCGATATGACAAGTTTGAAAGGCTTAAATGCCAGTTTGAAATGAAAGTCTGAAAGGCTTAAATGCCAGTTCGATATGACAAGTTTGAAAGGCTTAAATGCCAGTTTGAAATGAAAGTCTGAAAGGCTTAAATGCCAGTTCGATATGACAAGTTTGAAAGGCTTAAATGCCAGTTTGAAATGAAAGTCTGAAAGGCTTAAATGCCAGTTCGATATGACAAGTTTGAAAGGCTTAAATGCCAGTTTGAAATGAAAGTCTGAAAGGCTTAAATGCCAGTTCGATATGACAAGTTTGAAAGGCTTAAATGCCAGTTTGAAATGAAAGTCTGAAAGGCTTAAATGCCAGTTCGATATGACAAGTTTGAAAGGCTTAAATGCCAGTTTGAAATGAAAGTCTGAAAGGCTTAAATGCCAGTTCGATATGACAAGTTTGAAAGGCTTAAATGCCAGTTTGAAATGAAAGTCTGAAAGGCTTAAATGCCAGTTCGATATGACAAGTTTGAAAGGCTTAAATGCCAGTTTGAAATGAAAGTCTGAAAGGCTTAAATGCCAGTTCGATATGACAAGTTTGAAAGGCTTAAATGCCAGTTTGAAATGAAAGTCTGAAAGGCTTAAATGCCAGTTCGATATGACAAGTTTGAAAGGCTTAAATGCCAGTTTGAAATGAAAGTCTGAAAGGCTTAAATGCCAGTTCGATATGACAAGTTTGAAAGGCTTAAATGCCAGTTTGAAATGAAAGTCTGAAAGGCTTAAATGCCAGTTCGATATGACAAGTTTGAAAGGCTTAAATGCCAGTTTGAAATGAAAGTCTGAAAGGCTTAAATGCCAGTTGATTTATTAGCTCGTTCCTTCAATTTGGTAATTTTGTTCGCATTTTCTTCATCTTCATGGACAACGGGCAGTGCTGAATTTGCCACAGATTCTTGCACAATAGACTTGCCAGGCTTTGTTATACCTGCAGTTTCTACAAGACAATTCAAAGGTTTCCAAAGAGCAGTCGTACCTTCCAATGGCTCAACAGGGGCCTTTGCACATTCACAAGGCACATTTTGCTTAGATGACTCGCCAGCAAAGAAATTCTGAAGCCATCACAACAATAAGAATAAATTGTTAACCTAGTAAAAGCATAACCATTCTCAATTTAAAGCTTTTCCTTAACTTTTTGAAACAAATTAATCGTTACAAGTGCAAATGAGCAATCTGTAAACTTGTTACCGGCTTTTTATTTTCTGCAATCTTGGTTAGAGTCACAAGAGGGCTTGAGTTCTCGGGAATGGCTTCCCTGTTCTTCATTGGCTCCTCAACGGATAAAGTGGATCCTCGTGAAGCAACGAACTTTCTTGGCAAGGATTTCTTTCTTCTACTCGTTGCAGCCCTATTTGACGCCTTAGGTTGGCTAACCAAGGAAGAGAGATATCTTTCCTTACTTCTGGAAAGCAATGGAATAGTGGGCATAACTTCAGGTTCCATTGACTCTATTGTAGTAAGCAAAGGATTAGGCTCTCTTCTTTTTAAGGAATCAAAGATTGCAGCCTTAATATGTTGCACACTATGGTCGGCCCTGCAGGTTAACGGAAAACAAAGGAAATTTTGATTAACATGGACCTCTATTCCAACCAAACGCATAAAGTTAGTTTGTATTTCTTGTTTTTCCTTTAAATTTGGTAATTTGGAGTAGAACACAAATTCAAATGGCAGAACAGTTATAGAAACAAAGGCACACACAAGAGAGGGAGAGTTATAGCTTGAGTAGTTCAATCATGTTGTTTATTCTATCTGTGATTTCAACACTTGTCTTTTGCTTAAGCGAAAATTATATCCAACTATCATACTAGTTACTGGTAAAACTAGAAATCTGAAAATAATCAAGATACATTGTGGTTCTCAAACAGAGATAACACAGAAAAACTTCATATATATAGTTGAAGAAAATTATCATTAAGTTCATGTAAGCAGACCACCATTAGGTCATACAGCCCAATTACAGTAGCTGATACAAGCAAATAACTGATATAATGTTAACATTTTGAAACACAATACAATCAAAAATTCAATGGGCCCAAAAATAAAAGAAAAAAAAAATTTGCTGTCCACAAGCTTTAGAAATACTATCCATACCTCAGAAGAATTGATCCTAATGGTAGAAAGCATAGTATTATATTCCCTTACCAAGGTTCAGAAGTCCTTAAACACACATTTTACTGGAACTAAATTCGTGTAGTTTCTATGCTTTATCTACTTTGGTTGAAGAATTTATACAAACAGTTAAAAACCTTGGCTTTCCTATCATGTCAGATCTTAGGACATTAATAGCTGATATGTATGACAGTCAATCATGAAAAATGCAAAATTACAATGATCCAACACTGTAATTTAACAGAAACACATTTTGCAAAACCAGCCACAGTATCTCTCCATTAAACAAGAACTGTACAGTATTAACTATCATATGGTTTATCCAAATCATGGACACCCGGTTATCCAAAAAAAAAATCATTTTTATCCAAATCACCACATCATTGTCAAACAAAGAGTTGGATATATGAAAATAGAAATACAGTTGTGCAATAAACAGATGCATCTTTGCATAGTGACATCATTTTCAGCACTTACAACATAGTTGATTGACAACCTAATTTTACACAACAAATAAGGATAGTCTACTAGACAACTCATCACCCATATTGCCCACATACTTCTCAAGTTCATGTTCCTTTAATTCTGAACATGACAGGCACTTCCTTGATAATAGTTATGAATTATCTGCATCATATTTCAGGGTTTGCTGTGTACATTTTTAAGCAAACTGTATCTACACTTCACAAAGTTCAGTACATGCAAAAACAACTGATCGATGTATCAAGTTCTAAATAGGAGTGTAACAAGAGTACAAGACCATCATACCTGAGTTTTTTCAATGGAGCGCAACCGAGATATACTTTGCATTCAGGACAGTTTCCCAACCTCTCTTCTGTAATCTTCAAATTGGATGAACTTTTCTATAGCACATAGTGCTTGCAGCATTAACCACAGCTTGTGGTGCAATATTTGTCCCTTCAGTGGCCATAGCTCGTTTTGGTCGACCCCTACGATTCTTTTTAGGTTTTTCTGAACCTGATGGCACGGGCATTGATCGACCCTCATCATTGTTGACTTTAGATTTATTAGCTCGTTCCTTCAATTTGGTAATTTTGTTCGCATTTTCCTCATCTTCATGGACAACGGGCAGTGCTGAATTTGCCACAGATTCTTGCACAATAGACTTGCCAGGCTTTGTTATACCTGCAGTTTCTACAAGACAATTCAAAGTTTTCCAAAGAGCAGTCGTACCTTCCAATGGCTCAACAGGGGCCTTTGCACATTCACAAGGCACATTTTGCTTAGATGACTCGCCAGCAAAGAAATTCTGAAGCCATCACAACAATAAGAATAAATTGTTAACCTAGTAAATGCATAACCATTCTCAATTTAAAGCTTTTCCTTAACTTTTTGAAACAAATTAATCTTACAAGTGCAAATGAGCAATCTGTAAACTTGTTACCGGCTTTTTATTTTCTGCAATCTTGGTTAGAGTCACAAGAGGGCTTGAGTTCTCGGGAATGGCTTCCCTGTTCTTCATTGGCTCCTCAACGGATAAAGTGGATCCTCGTGAAGCAACGAACTTTCTTGGCAAGGATTTCTTTCTTCTACTCGTTGCAGCCCTATTTGACGCCTTAGGTTGGCTAACCAAGGAAGAGAGATATCTTTCCTTACTTCTGGAAAGCAATGGAATAGTGGGCATAACTTCAGGTTCCATTGACTCTATTGTAGTAAGCAAAGGATTAGGCTCTCTTCTTTTTAAGGAATCAAAGATTGCAGCCTTAATATGTTGCACACTATGGTCGGCCCTGCAGGTTAACGGAAAACAAAGGAAATTTTGATTAACATGGACCTCTATTCCAACCAAACGCATAAAGTTAGTTTGTATTTCTTGTTTTTCCTTTAAATTTGGTAATTTGGAGTAGAACACAAATTCAAATGGCAGAACAGTTATAGAAACAAAGGCACACACAAGAGAGGGAGAGTTATAGCTTGAGTATTTCAATCATGTTGTTTATTCTATCTGTGATTTCAACACTTGTCTTTTGCTTAAGCGAAAATTATATCCAACTATCATACTAGTTACTGGTAAAACTAGAAATCTGAAAATAATCAAGATACATTGTGGTTCTCAAACAGAGATAACACAAAAAAACTTCATATATATAGTTGAAGAAAATTATCATTAAGTTCATGTAAGCAGACCACCATTAGGTCATACAGCCCAATTACAGTAGCTGATACAAGCAAATAACTGATATAATGTTAACATTTTGAAACACAATACAATCAAAAATTCAATGGGCCCAAAAAGAAAAGAAAAGAAAAAAAAAAAAAATTGCTGTCCACAAGCTTTATAAATACTATCCATACCTCAGAAGAATTGATCCTAATGGTAGAAAGCATAGTATTATATTCCCTTACCAAGGTTCAGAAGTCCTTAAACACACATTTTACTGGAACTAAATTCGTGTAGTTTCTATGCTTTATCTACTTTGGTTGAAGAATTTATACAAACAGTTAAAAACCTTGGCTTTCCTATCATGTCAGATCTTAGGACATTAATAGCTGATATGTATGACAGTCAATCATGAAAAATGCAAAATTACAATGATCCAACACTGTATTTTAACAGAAACACATTTTGCAAAACCATCCACAGTATCTCTCCATTAAACAAGAACTGTACAGTATTAACTATCATATGGTTTATCCAAATCATGACACCCGGTTATCAAAAAAAAATCATTTTTATCCAAATCACCACATCATTGTCAAACAAAGAGTTGGATATATGAAAATAGAAATACAGTTGTGCAATAAACAGATGCATCTTTGCATAGTGACATCATTTTCAGCACTTACAACATAGTTGATTGACAACCTAATTTTACACAACACATAAGGATAGTCTACTAGACAACTCATCACTCATATTGCCCACATACTTGACAGGCACTTCCTTGATAATAGTTATGAATTATCTGCATCATATTTCAGGGTTTGCTATGTACATTTTTAAGCAAACTGTATCTACACTTCACAAAGTTCAGTACATGCAAAAACAACTGATCGATGTATCAAGTTCTAAATAGGAGTGTAACAAGAGTACAAGACCATCATACCTGAGTTTTTTCAATGGAGCGCAACCGAGATATACTTTGCATTCAGGACAGTTTCCCAACCCCACTTCTGTAATCTTGCCATATATGCACTTCCTGCAAACTATTTCAAAATTACAAAAAATATATATTAGATATTTACATCTTTTATGACTATGAAACACATGCTCAAGTATAGCTACACATGTTATTTTAACTTGCATTCTCAAAAGATATTTGCATGTGATACATATTTTGTGTAAAAGGAAAAGTTAGGAATCATGAAAATTAGATCATAAAAATAATTATGAAAGATTTATGATCTTTGGATTACCTTGATTAGTGTGTGGTGCTTTATTCTAAGTGTAATCCAAGGGTCACAAAACTTTCATGATTATTTTCATAAAGATTTTTCATGATACCTAGCATTGCTGTAATTTTTTCTCTCAAAATCCCTTGAATGATATGGCAAACAAAATTTCGAAAGTTAGTCCACACTCTAATATGTAACAATTGGTATAGAACTTACATTATGCCTTGCCATCTCATTCAAGAGGGTTTTGGGGGCCGGGGAAATTGAGGATGTAGAACTGCTGTTTAAATTATATCTCCTCCATCCCATTTTGTTTGTCCACCTCTCCATTTTGGCATGTCTCAAAATATTTGTTCACCTTTTATTTTGGATACTAAACTTTGCTAGATTTTCAAAACTACCCACTTTAAATCATTATAAACACACTTCGAAATTCAAGATAGTGGTGGTAAATTCATTTCAAAATTTAAAATGTGAGAATTGCATATTTTCTTAATAAGTTAGATTCTCTAAAATAGAGAAATAAATTGAAATAGAGGAAATATAAAATATGCATTTCAAATTTTAATTTTAATTTTAATTTTAATTTATCGTTATTGACTCTTAACAAAGGCTCATTGAGCCTACTCAATACTTAAAATGCTTTGAAATATAAACTACTAATTTTTAAATGAAAATTAAAAAAAAAAATCTCAAATAAGTGGGCATAATGGGGAAAAAAAAGTTTCCATAACTATAAGGGGTTGTTTGGAATGGCCTAAATAAGTGCACTTTTTGTCTTTTTACGAAAAGATGTGCAGAAAAGTAGAGAGGTGATGTGATGGAAAAAAAATAAAAAGATAAAAAGATGGATTATTTTGGTGTTGTCAAACTTGGCCTAAGTCTGTCATATATTTGGTACAAGTTTTTTTCATGTACTTTAGAGCAAGTATTGTCTACTTGTCAACTTCACAAATAAAAAAAAATTCATGTATAGTGTAATTGTTTTTAAAGTGTCTCATTAATATACGATTCCCATTTTTTAAACAAACAAATTGTGATAGATAGTTTAAATTTAAGATAAATTACAAATATATCTTTTGAGGTTTATTAAAAATACAAATTCTTCTCTCATGTTTAAGAAATTACATCTCATCTTCAATATTTTTAATCACATAACAAATGACCCTCTCCATTAATCAATCGTTATATGAGAGCATCTCTAACCCATTAGGTATGTAATGCATGTTAGTTAAAATGCCTACTATAATTCATTTTTTTCAACTCCAATGTACTACGTATATGATTAGACATTTGGCTCAACTCACATTCACTAGATAAATATAGTCATCCTTCAAGGATTAGGCTCTATTTGACCTGGATGATCCTTTATCTCTGTCTTTGTTGTTGATATGCCATTTCATAAAGTGAGTAGTATTTTGATAAATAGCTACAATAAAAAGTATAATTGGAGTGAAAACATAAAAAAGTGAATTAAAAAAAAAAAAACATTATAGTAACTTTTAGATGGGTAAAATGCCTAATTGAAGATGCTATAATGTAAGATGCAAGTAATAAATTTTTTTTCTTCGGAAATACCTATATTAAACTTTAAGAAATTAAACACTTTAGTGGTGTAGAAAGAGAGATTTGATAGTGGGTGGATAAAAATGAGGATAGTATGATAGTTTCATTTTGGTATTAGGTATTAGAGAGTATTTGAGTAATTTGATTGCCTGTTAGGTTAGTGGTAGGGAAAATTCTAATAATTGAAATATTTGTAATTTTCAAAATGTGAGAAGAAAATTGGTATTAAAAAAAAAATTCAAAGGATGTAATTGTAATTTATCCTTAAATTTAATGGAAACAAAATTTAATTGGTATCAAGCCCCATTGAATTACAATATAAATTACATTAAATTTGTGGTGTGGAAGAGTGAGTAGAGCATGTGCAATTAGAAAGCGAATACTCATAAAGTAAAAAGAAAAAGGGTTTTCATGTAATATAAATTAGTACATTTGGAAGGTTAGGTTTTGGCTTTCAAAATTGTCACTTTATTAAAATTAAAAAAGAAAAACATAAAACTAAGGTAATTTATATTTTTCACCTTTAATTTTCACATGAATTTTATTTTAGTCACTCATATTCAAATTGCAACAATTTAATTCTTAGATTTTTAACCTCTCTCGTCACTTATCATCAAGAATTTGGACAAAAAGTACTCAAGTCAGCACATTTTAAATATATTACAAGAGTAACATTATAAACAAAATTATGCTTTTCATTCTCCAACTTTTGCTTAAATTTTATTTTGGTCATTTAAAAAATCCCTTTCCCTCAAAAGAGGAGAGAGTCGCATGCGGAGAATCTAAACCAGTCTCCCTTCAAACCCATCGTACACTACAAGAAATTAAGATTTTAGATTTAGGGGCAAAAATAATTTGTCTACAATTATGCTTTTAAAGACAAAATGAAGGAATTTGAAAAAATATATATTTAATCATATTATTACATTTTTGAGACAAATCTATGTGGTTGTAAAAGGACTAGGGATAACCCGTGCCTGAAGACACTGCCAACAATTTTTTTGGTATCATGTACTACGAAACTCAATGGTAATAAATCAATTCAAAATTGTAATATCACTCTGACTTAAAAACTTCACATATAAAAAATTGAAATTGTTTTTACACATTGAATTAGCGAAAGCATTTATAAATTTCAAATGGTAAATTTCAAAATTAAAGACCAAAAAATGAATTATATATTTGAATGTAGCATAAGCAAAGAATCTAGAAATATTTGCTAAACTTAAAGTCCAAATAGCAAATTTTTATCCATATCAAAATGACACATCTATACACTATAGCAAGTTAGAATGGGATAACTTTCAATAAAAGAATGTTATTGAATTAGTATCATAACTGATAACCCTTTCGTTTTATCAAGTTTAAATTCCTTCAAATAAAGGCCAATGAACATTTTGGTACAAAAGAATCATCCTAGCTAACCAAAAATAAAAAATAAAAAAAATAAAATAAGAGAGCCAACCAACGACACATTGTTAGGTTTTATTCTTGGCAATCCCGTTTGACAAAACTCTTTTCAATTGTATTTATTTTCGCACCTTTTATTTTAGTGAGACGATGAGTTTTTAGATGCGAATCCAACCTGAACTGTGCCTTGCAGAGAAGTTTGTGACGCTAATGCTTTCAAGATTGCCATGTTGCTGATTATGACGGGGATCGAGCTGTCCGGTCAGCTCGTGGGGGTCGAGAGGCCAGCGCCCCTTGGTGGGTCCAGGGCAGCGCTGTAGATGTCCCCTGAACGCCCCGGGAGGAACGAGTCCCCCGTTCCGTTCGATATTGGACTCACTACAGTTCAGACTCTCAATTTGTCACGGTTCTAAATTTGAACCAAAGAGTCCAAATTCGGCAAATCGTTTTGAGAAAACAGATTTTGAAAGAAGTGCCAAACATGGACTGCTTTGCCAGATACAGAGTCGCCACCTAAATATTTTATTTTGGAGAAATTTAGGAAACCCTGACTCATTGCCTAAGGCCACGTGTCCGTCATCACCAAAGTTGCCTCGGCTCGGGAACTTGGGTACGATTGGGGAAGGTCACTTCGTGAGCACCCCCGCTCGCCCGATCAAAGATCGGCCTCTACTAACCATGATATATATTTTTGAAAACTTTGTGTGTCCTTAATCCGGTTATTAGCCTAGGTTACTATGTGATGCACACAGCATACAAGTATAGACTGGATCGCCTGAATTGGAATAAAACATTTGCTTACTTTAGCTGATTCCTTATTTCAACACCCATTTCAAAAACTTTTTCAAAATCATAAAAAATCAACACTCATTTTCCATTAAGGAATTAAATCCATTTCATAAATCATTTGAAAATGGTTTGATGGTGCTACTCGCAAGTAGGCTAAGACGTGGATTTGCCACCCTCAGGTGGGCTTAAAACACACATTTGATGAATTGTTCCAATTCAAATAACCCAACCTTCACCCACAGGCATTCAGGCAGTTTATATCACATAAGCACATAGCCTCATGGTAAGCATGCTATTCATGGCAGTCACTCACACACATGCAAGGATGCTCAAGCATAAAACTTACCGAGTACTTTAAGCCAAAACAGAAGCCATGTAAGAAATCCATGCATGATCCTAACTATACAGAAATGTCTAATGCAACACATGCAAAAATGTAACTATAGCAGGTTCGGCTATTCTAAACATGGCATATGAAATGCTACAACTAACATATATTCAACTTTGAAATTGAAAATACAATGTAGTTAGTATGATGCGCTGAGCCCGGTGCATGCAAAACAGATGAATGAATGCAAACATGCTATCATACTGTATGCTAATTGAAACATGCCCTAATCTAACCATCATAAGCGGGAAAATAAAGGGGAGAAAGACGTGGAGTTGGAAGACATACATCACACACACGCACACTTATTACAATATTGCCCTCACGCGGAGGGTCCGAATAAATAATATACAGTCCCGAATAAATATTACAGTCCAAATAATTACAAAATCCTAATTAATTAACAAATTAAACTAGGTAAGCTGTAAACTAGCATGCAAGCTAGGGGCTGCCTTGACTCTGCTTCGGATGATGAATGATACATGTCCGGGTTGCTTTGTGCGGAAATCCACTGCGATGCCCCAATTAGCCTCTGTTGGCAATTAATGCCGGAATGTTGTGCAAGGCTTTTGAAAGGCTACTGATTCTTGATTTGCTGCAACAGAGAGCAGGAAAAGGGCATGGCAATGTATTTTCACAAATGTATGCATGCCTCGATCCTCGTGTCACCAATCACGCATCTCG